AATACTACAGGAACAAACTGACAAAAAAAAGAAAAGAAAAATTGCAACCATACAAAAACAGCAACTAAGAATTCAGAAATATATAGTACAATGAAAGGCAAAGAAGCAAAACTGAATCAATGAAAGTTTGAATTACTGAGCTTGAAAGCAAATCATTCAAAACTCAGCTGTTAGAGGACTCTTGATGTAGCACTGTAGGATCAATACTGGACTTTGAACCAAGAGTCGGCAGTTGAAACCACCAGCTGCTCATTGAAAATGCTTTGTAGGGTCTCTATGAGTCAGAACGGACTGTATGGCACTTAACAACAAAAAAGAGCAGCAATCAGAAAAAAATAATTTAAAAAATACAAAGAAAGCCTAAGATTTATATAGGACATTCCCAAGAGGAATAACTGATGTGTGACTGAAATTCCAGAACAGCAAGAGCAAAAACAATTGGACGCAGAGAAATTGTCCAATAATTTTTAGAAAGTTGTTCAAAAATTGAAGAAAGCTTGCATGTGATTATCTTTTGGGCTCTATCCTAGTTGAAGTTCTTTTGACTTCTTAAATGGTTATCTTACCATCTTTCATGATGTTAGAGACGTTTCCTTCCAAAAATTCTTAGACAATTTTCTCTATGTGGTGCTGCAGGACAAGCACTGGACTGCTAACTGAGAAACTGACAGTTCAAACCCAACAGTTTCTCCTAGGAAACCCTATACAGAGTCACTATGAGTTAGAACTGACTCAACAGCATTTAAAAGCAACAACAATAATACATATTATAATCAAACTTTTCTAAACCAATGGCAAGAAAAGGATCCTGAGAGAAGTTGAGGAAATACAAAAAGTAACGTACGAAGGAGAACTAATAAATTTAAGTTCTCATTTCTTAGAACTAACCATGCAGGCAAGAAGACAGTAGAATGACATACATAAAACGTTGAAAGAAAAAAATATTGTCAACTAATAATCACGTTGTTGTTTGTCCTGTTGTTAAGCACTGTTAAGTTGGTTCTGACTCATAGTGACCCTGTGTAGGGTTTCTGAGAAGCACCTTATAGGTTTGAACTGCTTATCTGGTGGTTCACAGTCCAGTGCTGATCCTACATCGCCACACCAGGAGTCCACTAAGAATCATATAACTGGCAAAAGTATCCATTAAACATGATGACAAAATTTGAACATTTCCAAATAAACTGAAATCAAAAGAATTTGCAAACAGCATACCAATCTTACAAAAATACTAAAAGGAGCTCTTTGGACAGAGCACCACCAACAGTAGACAACAACCTCAGACTAGCATAGATAACAATATCACCCAGAGCTCAACCCAGATATTGAAGTATTCAAAGTGAAAAATCAAACAAACCTACAAGACAGAAAACTGGGAACCAGAGATACCAATTTGCTACAAAACGCCCCATAGAGTAAAAAGACAGAATAATGTAGTTACAGAATTTCCAAATGAAAAGAAAGTCAAGCAGATTTCAAAAAAAATTAAATAATTAAAAATAAACCTAATTGCAACCCCAAAGCTAGACCAAGCCTTATTCCTAACTTTAACACAATCCCAGTCCCTAACACGAACCCTAGTCATTTCCATAACCCAAAAATAAACGAAACAAAAATACTACATAATAAAGCTGCATTATAAAAATTATCCGTATACATAACTTGCCACCAATGGTATCACATCTTCATTCCTAGTATATATGTTTCAGGATATTAAAGGAGACCTTTGGCAAGTGAATTAGTCTAAATTTTAAAATTTTTTGGATATCAACTTTATATTGAGCTTGCTAGACTAGTTATTAAATATTGCCTTGGTGATTTTAAGATATGTTTCTCTTTCCTGTGCTTAAAATGCTTTCTAACTCATTACTATGCTAAGAATTTGGACTTTACCTTTTAGTCCGTGGTTGTTATTGTTGCTAAGAGCCCTCGAGTTAATTCCGACCCATAGCAACCCTGTATAGGGTTTCCGAGGAGCAGTTGGTAGGCTTGAGTTGCTGACCTTATGGTTCAAAGTCTGGTGTGGATCCTACAGTGCCACACCAATGGTATAGCCCCTCAAAGATTATGATAGTTTCTAATATTTTAGCATGAGCTAAGATAGGAAGTGCAGAGAATATCTAAAGAAGGAAGATTCTGTAGGAAGTGACACATGTCCAAAAGACTTTTTCAACAAAGTAGGAAAGAAATAAAAGTCCCTGGGTGGTATACAAAATTAAGTTTTCAGTTACAAACTGAAGGTTGGTATTTTGAACCCACTCATAAATACCTGGGAAGACAAGACTGGTGATCTGCTTATAAAAGGCCACAGTCTGCGGAGCTGTTCTATTCTGCACACATGGGGTAACTCTGAGCCCTAATGGATTCAAATACAACTAACAGCCACAGAAAAGAGCTGTTGTGACAGTTAGTTTTAAGAAGTAGAGAAATATTATATAGATAATTAATATATGGTGCCGTAAGAGGGTATAAACTCAACTCACTGCCATCTAGTCAATTCCAACTCATAGTAAATTCACATAGGGTTTCTGAGGCGATACATTATACGAGCAGAAAATTTTCTCCTTCTTGAGCTGAGAGACGAGTGGGTTTGAATTGCCAACCTTGTGGTTAGCAGTCTAGTGCTTATCTTACAGCATGACCAGGTATAACATAGTTATAATCTTATTTTGAGGAAAATAGGAATGAAACAATAAGCTGAATTTAAGACTTTCAGGGGAGTTTTAAGGTAAAAAAAAAAAAAGAAGAATACTTAGAAGATTGGAACACTAAGCTCCTCCAAGGTGTTCAGTTAGTTTTGCTTTATGTTGGCTCTCATGAATGTTTTGACCCAAGGCAGCAAAATAGTCTAGGGTGAATTAGCACTTAATCAGAAAAAAATAATTAAAGTTTTCCATTACTAAAAATGTTAAGTATGTCATTTTCATATATTCAGAACTGTATATAAACTAGACACTGCTGAAGAAAATCTACTTTCCCTTAGAGAAAAAGTGTGAGCAATGAAGTCAGTCCTTATTTATTTATTTTCTTCTGAATTTATTGGGTAATCAATTAATTGTTCCAGTGAATCCTCATCTGTGAATTGAACTAATCACATTATCCATCTCATAGTACAGCCATGAAGGTTTAATGATATAATTCATAAAGCAATGCCTAGCATATAATATGGAATCCTGGTGTGGTGCTGTAAAATAAACACTGGGCGGCTAACCACAAGGTTGGGAGTTCAAACTTACCAACTGATCCCTGGAAACCCTATCAAGACTTGTTATTAGTCAGCGTTGACTTGGCAGGACTTAACAACAACAACAAGCATATAATTTATGTTGCCAAAATATTAACTATCATTATTAATTGACATTGTTTCTCAGAGGTATAAAACTTTCATCTATGGAAATTTTTTTTTTTTTTTTTTTTTTAAGATATGGCTATTAATTATATAATATTCATAGTATAATAGATTTTGGGGAAAATCTATAAAATAATCTTAATAAATAACAAGTATATTAACCGCATTAATTATTAGTGTTATGAACCCAGTGGTGATTTAAAGGCATACTATTACTAAATGATAAATAGTAATTAAGGTTCTCAATAGTTAATGCTGACTACATTTCATATTTTAAATGTGGCTTTTATAATCCTTTTAAAATTGGAAAGTTGAAAATGTAGGTTTTGAAAAGTTTTTTCATGTTAAAAACAGGAAAAAAGGAGACTAGTGAACAAATACCAAATTAATATAAAATTCACAATTTATTGATATAAAACACATAGAGCACATATAGTTATATTTGCTAGACAAATGTAACTATTGAATTTCACATTGAATTACCAGTTCCATCAATTTTGGGGCAATACAAAGAAAGATAAAAATATTCCTTTGAAAACAAACAAAAGATACAGCCTACCTTAGCAAAATGGAACAAAACCAGAATGACAAATGGGATCGTTAACTTTAAACTGAACTGAAGTTACAATTTTGACTGTAGTAGCTACACAGAACAGATGGAGTTCACAAAGGAATTTTTTTTTTCTTCCAGAAACAAATAAATCTGATATATATTCTTTTCATGTGCCTTTTTAAATTTGTGTTGATAAAAGTCCAAAGTCTATACTCAAATATTTATGAAAATATTCACATGCATAGACGATCCTCTGTCAAAATGCATCTTCTTCTACAACTCTAAAATTTTTAGGTGTAGGGAGGAGAGGGATTACTTTTCTGAACTCATCATTGTTTCTTAGACAACACTTCTGTATAATACAGCCCCGGGAAAGTAGTCTGAATGTAAAGTCCCTTGACAAAATATGTTTCTCTTAAAAGATGTTAATTTAATATTAAAGGAAGGAAGACATCTGGGAGAGAGGATAAAGGAGTTTGTATTTCTAATTCCTAGACTAAAAACCAGGATATCAGAAAGTCATTTTATTTCCTTTATACTTCTGATTAAAGCCTTCATTTTAACCTTCATTATAAATGAGGTACATTTATCTCTTATATATCTTTTAAACAATTAAATATTAACCTTCTTCAATCTTATTCCTGATTCCCCTGAAAACCAATTTTTGACTTATATTCAGTGTAATGAATTAGTATTTCATTTTCAATAGAACCATATACATATAAGTCTGTCTATTTAGGTGCGATATAAACATCATGTTCATCTACATACATAATGCTATGTCATAGAGAAATCACAGTTATAAAATAATAGTCTTTAGTAAGATCATCTGAAGTAACTGATAGAAAGAAAAAGCATATGAACCCATTTAAAAAACAAATTACATTGCTGCCAGAACAATCAAACACATGTGTAATATATCATTCTGCTATAACAGCTTATAGAATCACAAATAGCTGGTGTGCAGCTGCTGTCATTAATGCTAGACAGTTAACAGTGGTAAATCAATATCCTTTGGGTTCCATATTTAGGTTGCAGTAGATATTATAGTCACTTGCATGGCTTTGTAGGTAAGGTCAAGAAAATAGACGTACAAATCTACACATACTGACTTTTAGAATAAACACTTGGTGACTTCTTTTCCATATGAAAGCTTTTTGGGGTCGTGCGATGCGACGGTATGGAGTATCTGTAGCTCATGTTGTTCTTTTCATTGCAACAGAAAATGCAACAGAAGAGTGTTCCTCCAGCAATCAGCACCAATGCCGTGACCCAGCCTATGTAGAGGGCTTCTCCAAGCTCACGTTTCAGTGCAATATCTACGACTGGGTTGTAGAAATCTCTAATGATGGAGTTGGCGACCCAGCTCACAGGGATGAGCACCACAATGCCTGCCACAATGAAGATGATTCCAGCTGCTAACAGAATGTGACCCTTCACCTTCTCATTGTCCCCAGTGCAGCGGGTGCACTTCATGCCCAGGATGGTTGTCATGAAGGCTAGGAAGGACAGCACCGTAGCAGCACACATCAGTCCTCTGGACGCCTGCAGTTCTGGAGGAAGAGCCAGTAGGGAATCGTACCTTTTGCACTGCATCCTGATGTTCATATGCCTCATGCAAGTCATCCACAGTCCTTCCCACATGTTTTCAGCAGTTACAATGTTGCTTCCAATGAAGGCAGACACTTTCCACTGAGGCATGATTGTGACAGCCAGTGATCCCACCATGCCAATACCACCAAGTACCAGTCCAGCAATTTGTAGGGCAGAAGTGGCCATTATCCACTGTGATAGGTTTTATCGGTGTGGATTCTGGAGCCAGTAGAGCTGTTCTGAAGCAAGCCTCTCTGTGCCTCAGAAGACAGCAATGAACTCAGGAATCCAGCAGCGTTTCAAAATACAGTTGCTTTACTACTTCTGGCTAGATTAAATCCAGTGTTGGTTGACGGAGGTCCCCCCCCCCCCCATGGACTAGAACAGGTAAACTTACAAATCAGGTGTGGCAACTTTCTCCGCCAATCAGAGGGGGATGGTAACCCAGGTGTGTCTAAACTGAGATGAGATATTTGGAACGGCTGGCCATCCATAAACATTCTTTGTGCTTCTCATTTTTCCAAGAAGACAGCAGTGTGTTTACCTCTAGGCATAATTACGAATGTTTGCACAATCATCAGGAAATGCACTGATCCTTTGGGATAGGAAAGGTTCGCCTTGTACAGGCAGTACTGAAACTCTTAGTAAAGGCTGCTGTGATGGAGTAGAAAATATAATATCTGCCCAAGAAATCTGTTTGAACTGCCAACATGCCAAAGTGAAAGGAGAGTAGGGAATTGATAGATTGCTCATACCTGAGAAACCACATTCTTGGAGATACATGTGATCCAAGCAGTTGTTTTAATTTGTCTACAACTTCAAAGCAACTACTACTGGAGTAAAACCAGGGTACAGATCATGCCAAAGGACAAAATAAGGCTAAAACGATTAAATATACTAGGCTGTCTTCCTTTTTGGCACAAAAAAATATAGTTTTCTTTAGAGCCAGGAGAACTACTTGTTTTTTTTTGTTGTTGTTGTTATAGTTGTTGCTGTTTTCTGATAATCTGTATTTATAAGGCTTCTTGTTGTTGTTGTTAAGTGTCATTGAGTCAGTTCTGACTCATAGCAACGCAGAACAGGGTTTCCAAGGAGCCAGTGATGAGTTTGAACAGCCGAACCTGTGGTTCAAATTGACTTTACAGTCCTTTGCTTATCATACAGCACCACACCAGAAGTCCACATTCATACAAAAACAAACAAACAAAGAAAAACTTCTGGATGTAGTAAGCATTATAGTACTTGAATAATGAAGTGATTTATAAGTTGTTAGCTATTTTTTTCATTCTTTGTTTATTGTTCTATCTTTATGGGCTGAAGGAACTACAATTCCACAGGTGACAGGAGTCCTGGTTCTATGTATATTACTAATTTGTTATTGTTGTTGTTGTTATGTGCCTTGGAGTCAGTTCCAACTCATAGCGACCCTGTACAGGGTTTCCGAGTTTAAGAACAGCTCATAGTTTAAGAATCTAATCCTGGTCTCCAACATGAAAGGCAGGGATTCTTCAACTGAACTACCTCTGCTCCCTGATTACTTTCTTTCTGTTCTTACACTTAGAGCAATGGAGGAATCTGCACAGATGATTCTATCAATTATACTCCCATTTCTTTGAAAGACCCAAAATACTACCAAGAACCCATGAAAGAAATGAATGCTCATGCTGATCTGCTGTGACCTTTCCTTTGGGGGCTCTCTTTTGCCTATATCATCAGAAGCATTAAGTTTAGAAATTCCATCTCTTCTCAAAATAATAGTGTGACTGAGTGGTTTCCAACCTGTTTAGACGAGACTGGTGAAAAGAGGTGGGGATAAGACTCTTGTGGTTCAATAGTGAATAATTGCTATCAGGACTGATTGTGAATGTTGCAAATGTAAAGGTAGACGTTTTGTAACAAACTGAGGTGTGGTTGATCTTGCAGTCCAGGAACGGAGGACCCTGGGAGAAGAACAGAGTGTGGGACCCTGTCCAGAGAAGCAACAACACCAGAGATGGAGACAGAGAGACGAAGTGGAGAGATGGAGTGGCTGGGGATTCTAGACTCAAGGAGGGAGGCTGGGGGGCTGGCATGCAAAGTATACTGTTTGGTTGTTTGAATGGTTATATATTCCTGAGTGCTTCAGTGTACATCCAAAGAAAAAAAACAAAAAACAGAGGGATTGGAGGCAAACACTGTTAAATGTTGATGCATGAAGGGGATTGTCATCATTGCAATGAAACGAAATACGATAGGATGAATGTAAAGCTGATGTTCTCCCATGTAAACTACCGCTCAATTCACTATAAAAACTTAAAAAAAAAAAAAAATAGTGCGATGCTAAAATAAATATACACCTTGATTTGGGAAAACTTCACAAGCTGGTTTATTGTTCTTTAAAAAAAAATTTTATAGACCTTGTCAAGCTCTGTTCTATCTTTTCAAACTTCATGCTGCTCTTTATTTCCCTTTTATCTTAATATCATAAAATTGTGTCTCTCTTTTTATTTCTCTGTTTCCTAGTACAATTTTAAATCCAAGTGGGGGAGAGAGTATTTTCTATTCACTGTTTAAACATTGGGATTTAATGGTGGGGAGCAGAAAAGAAAGATGTCTAAGTAAACTGACTTCTAAAAAAAAAGAACGAAAGAAGAGTGGAATGTATAGTAAACCAATAGGAGTCCTGGTGGTATAATAGGTTAAACCCTGGACTTGTAACTTCTATGTTAGTGGTAGTGTTCTAGGTCAAACCCTGGGCTGCTAACTTCAAGGTTGGGAGTTGGAACCTACCAACAGTGAAGCAATAGATGGGACCGTCTTTTCCTGTAAAGACTTGTAGCTGCTGAAACCTTATGGATCAATTCTAGTCTGTCCTTTAGTGTCACTATGAGTCAGAATCAACTCCAAGGCAGTGAGTGTGTAAGTAAGTCACAGTAGTCCAAGCAGTTCCCTTTTTTGTGTGCTTTTTGTTTTGTGTTTGTACATTCTGCAATTAAGAAAACAACAACAACAACACATGATATTTACATTTATTTCCTTCTTGTAGACCTGATAGGAATTTAATCTCCATGGTGTTCTTTTTGTTGCCAGAGACATTATCGAGCATTTACTTTTTCAGACTAATATCATTTACACATTGTGGTGGAGACAAAAGTAGGTTAATCTTTGAAAAATAATCTGTATTTCCACACACACATACAGAGTTAAAAGAAAAATAGCATATTTTTTGAAATCTTGAATTGCTAATCTGGTAAAAAGGAATGACAGATTTGTAAAACAGAAATCAAATAACTGATTTAAATGGGAACAAATTGAAAACAAACATTTTCAGGGATGTTGGAACATATTTCAGCCATCTAAATTTCATTTTCTATATTCTTATATGACATATATTAGAAGTTCTATGTATTTATTGCTGGATATCCATATTCAAGCTGAAAAATGTGTATGACACAGAAACAGATATGATGTACTTTGAAGTCTTATACATAGACAGGAGCTGTCTACTGAAACTGCATTGATGTGTCTCTAGATTTTGTGTACTTTTTATCCCTCTTCCTTTAAGTACTGAGCTTTTCCAGCAACATATTCGTGCAAAAATATTTTCTCCTTTTCAAAACTATTAGACACGTAATTTGTGTTGCTGTTGTTAGGTGCCATCAAGTCAGTACTGACTCATAGCGACCTTATCCACAGCAGAACGGAACACTGCCCGATCCTGGGCCAACCTCACTACTCTTGCTATGCTTGAGTCCATTGATGCTGCCACTTGGCCAATCTATCTCATTGGGGGTTTTCCTCTTTTACTCTGATCCTCCACCTTACCAAACATTATGTCCTTCTTTAGTGACTGGTCCCTCCTGACAATATGTCCAAAGCATGAGAGACGATGTTTAGCCATCCTGGCCTCCAAGGAGCACTCTGGCTGTACTTCTTCCAAAACGTATCTATTGGTTCTTTTGGCAACCCATGGCACTTTCAATATTCTCCAACACCACAACTCAAAACCATCAATTCTTCTAGGGTCTTCCTTATTCACTGTCCAGCTTCCGCATGGATATGGGGTTATTGAAAATACCATGGCTTAGTTCAGGCACACCTTAGTCCTCAAGCTGACATCTTTGCTCTTCAACACTTTAAAAAGGGCTTGTGCAGCAGATTTGCCTAACGCAATACGTCATTTGATTTCTTGACTGCTACTTCCATGAGTGTTCATAGTTGATCCAAGAAGAATGAAGTCCTTATCAACTTCAATCTTTTTGTCCATTGATAAGAGTGTTGTTTATTGGTCCAGTGGTGAGGACTTTTGTTTTATTTACATTGAGATGTAATCCATACCAAAGGCTGTGCTGTTTGATCTTCATAGTAAATATTTTAAATATTCTTCACTTTCAGCAAGTATGGTAGTATCATATGCATATCACATGCTGTTAGTGAGTCTTCCTCCAATCTGATGCCACATTTTTCTTCATATAACCCAGCTTCTCAGTTTATTTGCTCAGCATACAGGTTGAATAAGTATGATGAAAGAATACAACCTTGTTGCACCCAGAAGATCAGGATCTGAATGAAAAATCATTAGGTTCACATTAAAATAATTGCAGTTAACTGCTCTAGTACCAACTTGTCCAAGGCATTTAAAGCAAATTTCTTACCAGAGAAACATCCAGTTGCCTCATGATCTTTTGAAAGAAACATGCCTAACGGCCACAGAAAACCAAAAAAGGCAGGGAAAAAAATTTCTAGAAACAGAAGCATAAATTCAGAGATGAGTGAAGATTTAGTGTTTAATTATTATTCTATCCTATTAGATGGGTAATTTGACTGCAAAATTCATTCAGCCGCAATGTACAGAGAATTAGTAGATCAATAGCTTTCTTGTTCTTAGCTGCAGTGGAATCACCTCCAACTCAAGGTGTCCCCATGTTCAACAGGATTAGAGTTATGAATCACATGGTATTCTTTGGTTGATTTTTTCAGAAATAGATCAACAGAACTTTCTTGTTGTCATTGTTGTTAAGTGATGTCAAGTCAAGTCCAACTCATAGTGACCCTATACAGGGTTTCTAGGGGAAACTGACGGGTTTGAACCACCGACCTTGTGATTTGCAGTCCTGTGCTGATTTTACAGTGCCACAACTGGACTCTGGCTAGTTTGTCATACTCTAGAAGTGCTACTGAAACCTGTTCAATATCATAGCAACATA